TCTCCCTTCTTGGACAAATTTGGTCTGTCGCCAACAAAATTTGCTGTTGGAACGGTGACGATGGCATTGCACAAATGAATCCGAGCTTCCAGACCAAGACTCGGTTGCTGCAGCACTTAATGGCTGATCTCCCGAAGCTAACATCGCGGCAGATCTCAACAGCTGCCGTCGTGGCCTCTTTTATTATAAGCCAGAAGTTGGCAATTAAGCCTCCGTAAAATGTTACTTAAGCGTTTTCATTTGTTTAGCCACCAAAGGCGTCGACCTTGAGCTTGCAAAGGATCTAACCCCAACTGCCTTTCAGCAGGCATTGAACAGGTTTATATGCACCCGCTGAAAGCCCCAATACATTTGGTCTGACAACGCAACCAATTTAGTTGGAGCGAAAAACGATTTAAAGAAGTTTCTCTAACTCTTCATAAACGTTAAGCATCAACGAGCGCTGATGGAGTTTTGGGCGACGGAGTCCATCGAAAGGAATTTCATTCCTTCTTGATCTCTGTACTTCGGTGGACTCTGGGGAGTGGCTTTCAAATCATAGCTGTGGGATACTCAATGCTTGGATTTGAGGAACTGCGAACGCTCCTATGTCATTTGAGGGCTGTCATAAATTCACTACTTTTACTGTCTCTTTCATAACATCACAGACCTTGATGTTATAATGCCAGCTCATTTTTAACTGGTGGTTCGTCAGCTAGCTTAATCGAGCTTGATGTCAAAGCTGTACAACCGAACGGACAGCTGGCAGCGTGAGTCGTTTCTTCCATCTGGTCCTGTTGAAAGAAGGATTTACTTAAGCCTCCTCCCTGCCTGGGGCATCAACGATGTGACCGCTCTTACTTTTTGTTAGTTAAAAACGAGAACATTCCCCAGAAGAAGTCGCCGCTGGCTTGAATCATGGAACTTGTCTCTGGGCGGGATGCCATGTCTCTAAAGGCGGTGATTAAATCGGTGTTTGAAAAGCTTCGCTACTCCCGTAGTTTTTCGTTTTGATATTGCTACCGCTCTCATTTTTTTTTTTCACTTTTTTGAAAGCGGGAGCAGAGCCGTAGCAGAAAAAAAAATTGTCTGCTCTGCTCAGCTCCGAGCTACGAAAATTTTTAAAGCTATACCTATAGCAATAGCAGAAAAAAATATTCTGTGCTTCTCGTAGCCGTAGCCAAAAATCTAGAGCGAGAGCAGAGCAGAGCAAAAATATTGTTTTATGTGCTACTGCTCTAGCTTAGTTTTGTTTTTGTTTTTTTTTTTTCACCTGCTTTTAATGCACTGTCACTGTGTGACCAGTTTCTTTACCTTCTTTCTTCCTTACCCACTTTCTTTACCCTTGTAAGAATGCTTTTTAGATAATAATAAATTATAAAAAGTATTAATTTTTAATATTTAGTTTATTCAGAAAATAATTCAGAAATTCAGAAACAAATAAATATTAATAACTGCCAATAAAATCAAAATTACAAATTATGTTATTCAGTCATTTAATGAATACATAACAATGTAATAAATAATTCTACTGAAAAATTTATTTTGTAAATATACATAACATAATATACATAATATACATACATATAATAAATACATAACAATGTAATAAATAATTCTACTGAAAAATTTATTTTGTAAATATATAATCATCGTCTTCAAATAAACTGAAGTTGTCGATCGCAATATCAATGTATGTACATATGTTGAGTTTAGGTGAACAAGGAGTATATTTTTTTGAATGTGTCGTGGCTTAAACGATTTCTGTTGTCCGACAACACCAGTTTTGATGAAGAAAAGGACCGCTCTTATCTATAAATATTTATAAATTTAAATTTTTCGCATTTAATAATAATTCTTACTTGAGTTGGCGGTATAGCAAAACATATTTCGCTTAGTTCGTAAAGCTTTGCATTGCATGATTTCCTCTTTTTCCAAAAATGTAAAACGTTTGTACTGCATTTCATATACGGTAATTTTTATGATTTAATCTTTGCATCTTTGACAATGTTGCAATGGGAGTGTGCATTTTATTTGTGCCAACAATGTTTTTAAGAAACTGACTGCCCTTTCTTTTTGTGAGCTGACTAGAATATGATGAAAGCTTGGGTCTAAGTATAAACAAGCTTCGAAGCCAACATTATGTGTTAATTTCTTAGTCCGTGCTTCCATACTTTCAATAAGCGGCTCTCCAATTATAAAAATAATTTAATCCGGAGCACTTTTTGATAAAATTTGATTAGTGGTCAGCTTGGAGACCAGCCACAGAGCATACAAATTCCCATAGTGAAGTTCCTCCTCTTGAAACTGCTCTATGGTCTTTTGTAGTGGAACCATTATAGTCACATCGACGCATTTCCGCGAAAGTATCGTATGTTAAAAAATCCAATTTTACAGGAGAAGCTTTTTTTTATTTAATCTCTTACAAACAATAAGAAAAATCATAAGATGTTTAAGCGATTAGAAACATTTGTTATTGTATTTCTTTATTTTTGTGCGTTTGAAGCATTTCCATGCAAAAAATTTGTATGGACATACGATAATTTCGCGCGCAAATTGAAAAGCACTGTAACATACGATTAAATTGAAACTTAATTTTTATTGAAACTATAGGGTTTTCAGTTATAATATTTCACAGGGTAGTGAGACATTAGGTGCCTAACAATTTTGCATTAAAATCTTAATTTCGAAAAAAGCGACTTACGATACTTTCGCGGAAATGCTTCGACATACGACTCCATAAAGTCCCATAACATTTCATTTACTATAAACTCGTCATCTCTTGATTTATTCTCGACAGTTTCAATAGGGCTTAAAATACTTTTCGCCTTATTGAGGTGGTCAACCATGATGTAAGATGATCCCCATCTAGTTGGACAATCCAATTGAGGTAATTTAAAATTTTTCAGTTTAAACAAGTCACGGTAACCATTTGATTGCTTCCGAATGTATTTCGTAAGTTTTCGCCACATTAACAAATTTTCTCTAATATTTGCATTTTTTGTTTACGTCGAGTGCACAAAGCTGTCCAGTGTGTGCTGCACAGCGCCATATTTGTATATCACCGACAAGCGTAGTTTCAGTTTTTCCAAAAAAATTCATTTGCTTTATGTACTCGACGTTCTCTTCAATACCGGCATCTTCCATGTTATCATCGCTCAAGTTCATTTCTGATATAATTTTTGTCGCTTTATCCAAAAAAATTTAAATTAAAAATTAATTATTGTCAAAAAAATTAAAAGTGACAAATCTGTCTGCTCTCGCTCTAGATTTTTGGCTATACATATATTTTTCTGCTATTCCTATAGCTATAGCTTCGAACTTTTCGTAGCTCGGAGACCAGAGCAGACAATTTTCTTTTTTCTGCTACGGCTCTGCTCCCGCTCTCGGAACAAGTGACAGCGGTAGCAATGGCAGAGTAATATTTCTATGCATCTCGCTGCTACGGAGTAGTAAATGCAAACCCTGATTAAAACCGCATCTGAAAGCACCAGGCGCGCAATGTCTAAGTTGAATAAAATTTTAGGACTAGCTGGGGGAAAATATAGAAAAAAAAAAAAATAATAACTTAATTGGTCCGTTGCTATGATCGCTTTTGTTGGTCACAAGCCGAATCTTTTTCGGCGGCTTGCCAGCAGCGGGCCGATTTAGCTAGCGAGCTTTCGCTCACCATATTATCTAAAGCGGCCGCACTCTCGTTCCTAGTCTTTTTGCGGTCGCACTTGTTGGCATCTATTGTCATCCCAATTCCATATGTGGAAAAATAAAGATTTTTTCATCGTTTAATTATCTAATACCGTTTTTTTATTTTGGAGTTGATTATTGTCTTTGAAAAATCTCAATGACGAAACAGATACATTTAGGGAAACGCGTATTTGTATCAAAATATACATAAATATATTTGAAGTTTATTAGGGCTTTTGTTGGGACCAGAAATATAAATCAGTAGCTGCAAGTAGCTTAAAGAGGACAACAACATTAGCAGCAAACAGGCAGACATCGTTCGAACTTGGAGACGCCAAATAATATAATTTCCAAAAAACCTGTATATGATCTATATATATATATAAGGAAGTCGTGTTATGTTACAACACTTATAAATCAAGACGGCAAAACAGATTTGAGGGAAAATTGGAGCCAGGATAGGATACTTTTTATCCAGTGCGACAGCGGGAAGATAAGAGATGAACGTAATCAACAAAGACAACTGCAACGAAAATAAATGCACACATTCAAAATTCGAAGAAGAATTAACCATTATCGAGGATTTAAATCAGGGCCATTTCTTTGAATGGCATTCCAGTACGAGCCTGATGTTGAATATTCTGCGTATTCCAAAGTGATTATTGGTACTTTGCGAAAAGAATTCATGTATTGGCACTCAAATTTAAAAATGAGCCAGTGTGGAGGTGTTGCTCATCAGGAAAAGTACAACTACCCGAAATGGAAACACCACCTGAACCATTGCGCAGCATACTTCTCGGTACAGATCCGGATTCTACCCTTTCCTTGAAGTCAATTCGTACATTCAATTCATGCTTCCAAATGACATCGTTTTTACTCATCACAGATATGAACCGTGAACGACAGAACGATACTGTAGAAATGTCTGGCATTGTTAGTCGCAATATTCCACTACTTAATGACGAACAAAAAATTTGTACGACCGCATTATGTTCGCAGATGCGGCAGGCCAAGGATTTTTTGGATGCACCAGGTGGAATTACGAATTACGATTAAAAAAATGGCATCGCTTTGGCCATTGCATCTTCTGGCATTGCAGCAACTTTATTAGATGGAGGCAGAACAGCTCATTCAGGACTTAAGCATTCAACATTAAAAATAATCCAGATGGAGTGTGCAACATAAAAAAACAATCGTCTAGTGCTGACACAATGTAAAATAATTATTTTTCATGAATGCACTAGGGCATGTAAGCATTCGCTTGAGGCATTGGATTGGACATTTAGGGATATAAAAAAACAATTTATTAAGCTGTACCAATATTTGACCAGCTCTCACATGTGTGGTACAATTTAACGCTTCCTGTGCATAAGCTCTCGGTTCTTGCGCTTCCAAGCAGCACGCCTGGACCCACCAATAGTCTGCGAGTATCTGTATCCTTTGCCGATTCCACGGGAACTTTTACCTGCAGATGTAAGGCCCCTTAACTCGCGATGCTTATGCACGTGCTTGTATATCTAATTAATTTTCGGATCACGACGAATTGAACTATGATGAGTATCGATCAATATTACCTCAAAATACTTATATGAAGCATCTTGAGCAATCCAATAGGAGTTCAAAACCCGAAGGCCACCTAACCTGCGACCAACATGTTCCTCAGCAATAGACTGCAATCCACGATAAGGTTTTAATTGATTTACACCATGACTTTTTGGCTTTCCATAAGTGCAGCCTTTTGGTACAGGGCGCTTTCGGCCACCACGACGTACACGAATTCGATAAATGACAAATCCTTGTTTAGCTTTATATCCCAGACGTCTTGCTTTATCCGGTCGAGTTGGCCTAGGCGAGCGATGCAATTTATTCAATTGACGATACTGCCAAACGCGAATTGTAAGCAGATATCGCATGACATCGCTTTGCCTATACAGTTCCTGCATATACCGATAAGCCCCCATGTCCAAAACTGATAGACCTGCTTACCAGAAGTGAAGTTTCAAAAATGATAAACTATTTGGCGGCACGTTAAAATGACCTGAAAGGAGTAACAGACAAACTCTTCAAATGCTTCGAGATCCATCCGCCGAAATTTTCTCTAAACAATTGTTAGATATTGGCGATGGGAAAGTTGCTGAACGTAAAAATACTGGATGTACCGGAAATACTGAAAAACAAATTTATTAACCAAAATAAATGAAAAAAAAAAAAACAATTAGCCCTTCTAGAAAACCAAAAGGGGCAACATAACGTTTTCTAGTCTTTCAATAAAATAAAAATATTATTTTATTCTTATTTTTTGTTTAAGTTGATTACAGAAAAAAATATCGAGTTAAATACACCAAGGGCATACATATGTATGTTATTCTTAGCTGTTTGCTCCAAATGGCAAACTGCGAAAATGCCTGTTTCATGCCAGAAACTATGGTCCTAGTAGAAACGCATCAACTGAATTTAATGGAAGTTCATTTAATACTAGTTTCTGTCTGCTCCTTCTCTTCTTTCATTCGAAACTGCGACGCAGCGAGTAACAAGAACAAGTACTTGTAACAGAGCGATAATATCTTTAGGCGGTACAATTCAAATATTTCTCATAAGTATGGACGTAAGGAACACACGTATATATCTTGCAGCTCGGGCTCGTTGGAGGTTATTTTATTTTCTCGTAGCTTGCTATGCCCCGTCTCATAGCTAAGTAGCCCAAGAGTTCTACGTATTTCCCTCACATATTATTTTTATAAACAAGTTACGACTAAACATCGGCCGCGTTGAATGGCCGAAGCGCTTCAATTGATAGGTAATGATGCTAGTCTATGGATAGCACGTTTGTAAATTCCATTTGTAGTTTTGACGATAGCCACTCGGACCCTTCCAACAGCACCTGTAATCGTTTCAGTGATGATGCCCAAAAGCCATGGGTGAGGTGGCAAGTTGTCCTTCTGAATTGCGATAAATGTCCCAGCAGTTAAATTTGGCGACTCCTTATTCCATTTCACGAGTTGTTGTAAGCTCAACAAGTAGTCTCGTGACCAATCCTTCCAAAAGCGTTGTTTTATCGCAGACACCAGATGCCAGCGCTGAAGAAACGATAAATTCGGTTCCACATTTGCCTGAGCGGATGCTGGAGGCAAGGACGCCAAGCTGGTCCCGACGGGGAGGTGCCCAGGGGTTATAGCTTCACCATCATTTGGGCTTGAGCCGTCAGCGATAATCGGCCGCGAATTCAGCACTGCTTCAACTTCTATGATCACCGTCTGTAGCTCGTCTTCTTTTAGTAACGCTTTACCCACAGCTCGGAGAAACCAGTGTTTAGCCGATTTAACGGCCGCCTCCCAAAGCCCTCCAAAATGTGGGGCTCTGGGAGGGATGAAGATAAATTCGAATCGACGAGGTGCTCCAAATGCTGTCATAGCGTCCTTATGGGTTTCCAATTTTCTCATTAGGTCATGTATGATGCGAGACGAGCATGAGAAATTCGTGGCGTTATCGCAATACAATTTCTCGATGGGTCCACGTCTTCCGACAAATATCTTGATTGGAGGCTTGCCACGAATTCCTAGCGATAGGAATCGGCCCAAATAAGTCAACTCCACTAATTGCAAACGACCTTGTTCCTATCAAACGGTCGGCTGGTAAGTTACCCATTATTTGTGAAGCTAATTTTGGCTTGTATCGAAAGCAATGTACACATTGTCGTTCGAGCGCGCTACATTCGCGCCTAGCATTTATGAGCCATATTGTTTGGCGAATAAGACCAACCAATGCTCTGGGTTCTGCATGACAGTTGATTCTATGCAGATGTTGAATGTATAAACTCACGAATCTGTTGCTCTTTGGCATAAGAAGGGGAAACTTTACGCTGTAGCTCAACTGTGCATTGAACAATCGACCTCCTACTCGCAACAAAGACACCTCAAGCATTCCGATTGATTCAGTCACAACGAATGGACTTAATTTTTGAAGTGAGTCTGGCAATTTAACTGATTTTTGTAATTTTATGAGTTCACTTTTATATGCATTTTGCTGGATGACGCTTACAACAAGTAAGAAGGCCGAGCCGAGCTGAGCCGAGGTAGGATTTAGCGAAGACCACGAGCGAGATTTTGTTGCGTTAACGATTCGTAGGAAGTACGCAACAATGCGCATTACTTTAAGGGTAGGGTAAGGTATTAAATTTTTTTTTTTTTTTTATTTTTTTTTTTATTTTTTAAATTGAATGCATAATATTTGAAGAATATTGTGTCAAAATTTCAAGTCAATTAAAGCAAAATTGACGAAGTTATTAGTTATTGACGAAGTTGCTCATAAACGTTTTACACTGGATTTTTTTGTGTTTAAAACTTTAAAGCGTTTTTCCCACAACTCACGTTTTCAAAGTCGGTGCCCCTCATAACTTCAAAACTACTGCACCGATCCTTTTGAAATTTTAAACACCATTTCTGTACATATTTTACGAGGTAACGCTGTCGAGTTTTTTTTTTTTTTTTGTTTTTAATTTTGATTTTGCAATGACAAATTAACCGATTTTTTTCCCAAAAAATTGAGTTTTTCATTTCAAAGTCTTCGAAAAAATTAAAAAATTGCAATTTTCAAAAAACCTTCACAGCGTTACCTGGGGCGAACTATTATCTAACGAATGAACTTTCATTTTTTGATTACAAATGATCCAGCACCGAGTTATGAGGGGCACCGCAATTCAACTTTTTTTGGCGACACGTCCGGACAATTGCTACCATTGCCATATTTTTTAAATATTTTTTTGTAAAAATTTGATAAAACATTCTTCTAATGTCATACTTTAATATACCGTTGGTTGAATAAATAAATTTTAACTGTGCCGTCAGGAAAAAAGTCACAAAAAAATGGCTTTTTTCGCATGATTTGACCTTACCCTCCCCTTAAGAAATGAAGATGAATTTTCGACAATTTTTTCTATCGGATTCGGCTCGAGTTGTGTTGTAACGTGGCTAGTAGTAATATTCTGAATCTCTAACTCTTCGTTAGTGTTGATTTGCTGAATTTTTGTATTTTGAGGCCAACGCCTTTGATCTTGAGTCAAAAAGTGGGGACCATCAAACCAAAATGAATTTTTAAATTCATTAACTGTACAACCCCGAGATGGAAAGTCTGCTGGATTGCTGTCAGTGGGTACATGGCGCCAACTAGCCGATGAGGTTATCTCTTGAATCTCACTGACGCGGTTGGCAACAAAGATTTTTAGTTTTGAAGGATGTGTTTGCAGCCAATACAAGACGATTTCTGAATCGGACCACATAACAACTCGTTCAACTGGAGAGTCGATCAATGGACGAACTTCTTCCCACAAGTTGGCTAGCAAGTGCGCCGCGCAAAGCTCCAGTCGTGGTACCGACTTTGTTTTCAGAGAGGCCACTCTTGATTTAGCAGTAAGCAATTTAACTTCCACACCATGTGGATGTTCGACACGGATGTACAGGCAACATCCGTATGCCTCAGTTGAGGCATGTATTTGACATACGGTATTTTTTGTCGTACCTACATGCCTTAGAATTGTCAATATAGCCAACTCTTCCAAATCAATTGTGATCGATTGCCATTTCTACTGAAGGCTGTCAGGAATTGGATCATCCCACTCTATCTTAAGCAGCCAAATCTGTTGTATAAAAATTTTTGGCCTTTGTGACAACAGGACAGATAAGCCCGAGAGGATCATATAGGCGAGCAGTAAAGGACAACATAGATCTTTTTGTTGGCGCATGGCTTGTACACATCTCTCGCGAAGAAAACTTAAAGATATCATGTTTTGGGTTCCAAACGAGGCCTAACGCCTTTGTATCTTTGTGCTCCCCGACAGATACATCTGTAGACTGATTAAGATCTGCTCACAGTTAGTTGCCTAAGATTTCAACTACTTCGTTTCGCATCGACGTAAGTTCTTCGATTGCATCCGCGCCTGACAAAAGATCGTCAACTTAGAAGCTATTCGATAAGACTAAGGATCCTATAGGGTGAGAAACTGAATATATCTCACTGAGGTACTTGAGGCAGCGGATAGCTAAGAACGGTGCGCAGGCCGTGCCGTATGTAATGGTATTCAAGCGATAGACTTCTAATTTTTCATCCTTATACTGTCTCCTATTATTTGAAAATTACGATGGGATTCAGTTATTTCGACTTGTCTATACATTTTGACGATATCTGCTGTAAAAGCGTATTTGCAAAGACGAAACCTTAGCAATGTAGCGTATAGACACGGCTGTATAGTTGGTTCGATCATAAGCAATTCGTTCAATGACACTTGAGAGCTTGTCTTACTCGATGCATCGAAAACTACTCTATGTTTAGTGCATGAACTTTGCGGTATGAGCACACATTGATAAGGAATGAAGAAATGAGGCTCAGTAGGAATTTCATCATTGACCAACGTCATGTGGCCTAAGGAAATGTACTCATTCATAAAGGCAACGTACATGCAATTTATTTCTGGGTTATTGGACATCCTCCTTTCTAGATCCTCTCCATGAATGCTTTTTCGCACATAATTTGCTCCGGAGTGTAAAGTTTATTCTGTGCAATGCTCGGGAGACTTTCTATTTCCCAGAATTTTCGAATCAACATGTCTACACTGCAATGATCTTGAACCGTGCTCAACATTGAGGTAGACTGTTTGAAATTTGTTTTTGATGACTTGCACCGACCTGCTACGATCCATCCAAAAACGGATTTTTGTAGGATTGGACCATATGTTTCCTGCTTAAATTTCCCTTCCTTTAACAACTCGAAAAATGCGTCAGCACCAAGCAATATGTCAATTCTCTGAGGTTTGTGGAACAGTGGATCAGCTAACTTTATGTTGTCAGGGAGGTTCCAGTCTAACACTTGAACTGCCCTCTCTGGTTAGGACGATGATATTGACTTCAGAACAATAAGTTTAGCTTCCAATTGAAATGCCTGTGTTCGGGAGTGTAAAGTCGCTTGAACTACATGGCGAGCTGATACAGCTGATT